AGTCGCATCAACGGACCTGTTTACCAAGTCCATCTGGGCCTGGAGATTTAAAGGAGATTCCTATTACTTAGGAGGTATTCGAGGTGCCCCCTGGCTCTGCATTTCCTTGATTGTTTTCTCCTGAGAACACTCTGGGAAATGTGCATTTGTAACAGCCTCTACCATCCGTGGTCTTAATGTATCCTACATTAAGTGCAGTGGTTGCGAGAACCTTCCTAAGGTAGAAGGCCTCCGAGGTCCCCAGAATGCTCGTGCAGAACCTCGTCCAGACATTTCTCTTTGCTCTACGCAGTTACTGCGTGTAATGTAAACTGCTTGTAATCCGCCTTAAACGCCTCCAAGTTACTTCTGTGTTTGTTTACTAGAGAAGTTAAAGGCTTGGTTTTAAAGGGCTCAAGTGGCGCCCGATCCGATTTTAGGAAAAACACTAAAACCTAAAATAAAAAAAGAAAGTAAGGTCAAGTACCTCTCTTCTGTTCTTGACGAAGAAGTAAGGTTAGGATTAAAGATTGACTGTCCGGTGATGTTTCATGCCCTGCTCCTATTCCCAGTGTGTTTTTAAATATGGCCTTAAATAAGGCATTCTTGGCTCTCTGCCCTGTATCACAATATTACAGACTACATGTAATACAGGCATACATGTAGTCTGTATACATGTACTCTGTAGCCCAAACGCTCCTTAACTGTTTCATTACCGGCAGGCAAGAATGTTCATCCGGGACCACATTAAAATTATGCTTCTGGGAGCTGATTACTTAGTAGTATGGTTGTAGTTTAAAGACCCATCTTAATATTTTCGCAAGGGGCCTCTTAATGTTGTTTTGCTATTTCACCGCCATGTGATAATTGCCCCTAATTGCTCGTACTATGGATAGGCATTAGGTAAATGCGGGCCCTTCATCCTGAAGAGTTTCATAGCGCAGCACTGAAAGTAAAAATTATTTTGAATGTTCATTTCTGTTGGGGTTTCCTTGCTCTGGCGACTACCATTTGTGATTAGAGTAACCTCCAGACATTTATGTTTCTAAAATACAGACAACTGCTTTTTAGCATGGGATTATTTTTCTTGGTTGTCCATTTCTAGAACGAAGTGCCTATTGCCACAATTAGTCTTCCATTAGTTATCGACGGAAGTACATGCATTTGTAAATATTCTTTGGGACCGTCAATACCACCATGTCCTTGCTACACAAAGTCGTCATTCTAAACAGTCAGATCAAGGGCCTGCCAACTTGCAAAAGCTGCCTTGGTCAACTCATTTCTGCTGGACCATGGAGAAGTCAAACGATACTAACAAAAATTAGTAACAGAAGTGCCATATTGTCCTTACAGTTGGGATCGTGCTTGACATTTCGGGAAAGTAGACCTCCTAGGTCTATTCGAGTTAGATTCGGACTTCATTTGGACCTTCGGACTTCATTTGGGCACTCTGTGCAATGTCTCATATCACTGTGCACGGCAATGAAACTCTATATTAAGCTAATCAAGATCATTGGTATCAAGTATTGAAACCACAGTCAAATATTGATTACATCGACACTGCATCAAAGCCTATACCAGTATTTGATGGTAAAGCAGAAATCTTTATTTATTTATTTCGCCAACGAATAAATCCTTACATGGCTACAAAATAACAACTTACAAACTAATAAATACTACTACAATACTAATAAAAACCTAATAAGTGCCTGATTAACATGCGTTTAAACACGACATTATCAGAGCCCCACTCAATTCGGATGCTAGGCGGCAAAGAATTAAAATAAGAAAGAGCCCGCTCAATCGGCTCGTTTAAAAGGTAATTGGCCCTGTGACACTTGATCCTAAACGGGAAAAGTAACGAAGTACAAAGATCTCATTAAAAAAGAGACAATCAATGTTATTAGCTTCTATATTATTTAAAAAACTTAAAGCTGCCAGCCCCCAACGTGCAAGCATTGAGAATAAGGCAGAGGCTCCGGTATGAAGAGGCGGTAGAGAAAACGAAATATACAACGAAACGAACGAAACGAACTCTGTTGGAACGAACTATACAATCCGGATTCCAAATGATTGAGGCATATTCTAGCCTCGACCGAATAAATGCAGCGTAGACGCTGAGAGTGTGGACTTTCTTATTGGTTCACGTACTTTTTCACAAAGCCTAGCTTTAGGCAAAATATAGTCAAAGTGACCAGAAAATTTAAATTTGGTGTCGATTAAGACAACCAGATCTAACACCTCCTCTTTAGCTGCCAAACTATAATAATTGATGGAATAACCCGTGCAGATTTTAAGAGACCGCTTACTGTAACGGGTAATCAGACACTTTGATATGTTTTATGGGAGAAGATTACGGGAGCATGAAGAGATGTCATTAGTGAAAATAATAAATAGGAGAGGTCCTAGAGAGCTGCCTTATGGATGACCAGAGGAGGTGACAAATGGACTTGAGATAGCGCCTCCAATAGAAATGTAACACGGTCGGTCAGCCAGATAAGACTCGAACCAACTTAATAGGCAGGAATGAATACCTAATTTATATAACTTGGCCAGAAGGGCAGCATGACAGACTTTGTCAAAGGCTTTGGAGAAGTCAGTGTAAATGGGATTATCCCGAAGTCGGTTTTCAAAAGCTTCAACGCAGTGCTTAGAGAAGACCGCTAAATTAGATGTAGTAGACCTCCCAGGCAAGAAACCATGCTAGTTGGGGGATATAAAATTACGAGCCAGAAATGTCAATTTTTCAGTAACTATCCGCTCCAGTATCTTTGCGCCATTGCAAATTTTGGCTATAGGTCGATAGTTGGTAACATCAGACCTACTGCCACCTTTGTGAAGTAATCACAAACCCCGATAGGGGAATCTACCAGATGAGAGCGACAAGGAGAATAGAAGTTGAAGGGGAGTAGAAAAGGAATCCATACTCTTCTAAAGAAAGAATGGGGAGATACCACCCAAGTCAGCTGTGTGCGACTCGGTAAAATGTCCTGTGACTTCAACTAGGTCACAGTTCAATACGTCCATGCTACTTACATTGAAAAAAGGATGAATGCTAAAAAGAGTTTTATTATCACTCCAAGGAACCTTCGGCTGCAAGTTAAAGGAAAAATATTTTGCAAAAAGTTCAGAAACGCCCTGATCCGAGTCGGCTGCTTAATTACCATAACATATGGATGAAGGTATGTCCGATTTTGACTTTTTGCTGTTAACAAACCGTCAAAAAGCTTTACGGTTGGATCGAAGGCTAGCTTCGATATCGGATATATACTGCTTGTAATGAAACTTATTAAGTAATTCAAACTCCCTCTTAAATTGAAGGTACAGCTCTCCTGCTTGAGGCTTCTCTGTCTTTATAAATCGTTAGTAATGCTTATCCCATCTATTCTTTAAGTTTTTTAAACCTTTTGTATATCAGAGAAGCCTATAGGATCTTTTTACCCGCAGAGGGGCATAAATAAGGGCAACCAAGGACTTAGTATAACAATCATCGATTGAGCCTTTCGAAAAAAATGAAACCCAATCAGAGGCTGAAATAAAAGCATTAATAAGTGATAAGCTAGTATCATTCAGATAATAATATGGAATGGGTGGAGCAGAAGGGAAAAAACTATAAAACTCAATATAAATTACTAACGGCTTGTGGTGAACATGACATGGACTTATTAACCACGTTATTTAAAAATATAAGATAAAAATATTATTTACTTTAAGAAGGCCCAGACTAAAAACATCATCTACAACTACAATTTCATGACTTTGGTGAACGTTGCATGCAGGGTGACTCTGTGTCCCGAGACCAGCCGATAGAGCTTATGTTTAAATCGACACCTACCATCCAAGTACTAGGGTCAAACGTTCTAGCACAGACACTGGTGATGTTTTCTATATGCGCATGACAGATACTAAATGCGCTGTTTGGAGGGATATACGACGCAATGATGAGGTTGAAGGAGTTGCAGGAGCTGCTGAGGGACCAGACCCTCACTGCCCCGAATTAGGAAGGAAGGGCCATGAATGCACCGGACTGAAACGGCAGGCTGATCCAGTAGATGGTTGTCCACACGAAGGCGCACTGATGTAGCCTGAAGATATAGACGGATAGCGATGATCATACCACCTCCTCGCACACACACACTCCTGGATGCATCTCGATTTTTTCGAAATACTTGGTACAAGTTAGGCTCGAAGAACTCAGAGGAGCTAAAGTTTTTTTTGAGCCACGTTTCCATAAGGATTTAGAAGAATTCAGGAAAACCATCTGGGACTTAGACCTCATTCCCGATATATTATATTTTGGAATCGAACTTTTAAACTTTTATTGGAGTCCGAAGACGAATTATAGCTGCGGTCCCAGCTGGGAATTGGACGGCTAGACGGCCATGATGAAAGTACACTCCTGATACTGGTGCATGTGGAGTATATCCAATTTATTGTCAGGCGTTCCCGACCAAAAGGTACGAAGCATAAACCAGGTCATAAAGAACTCTTTCGCGAGGTTGAAGGAGTTGCAGGAGCTGCCGAGGGACCAGACCCTCACTGCCCCGAATCAGGAAGGAAGGGCCGTGTGTGGTTGCAGCGGGGAAGCACCGAACTGCAGTTCACGAGTCGAGAAAGCTACTCAGACCTCACCGGAACGAGCCTCTTACAGCCAAGTAGCAAGGACGAAACGCTCTACAGAGATGCCACCATCAAATAGGGCAAACCAAAATGGTAAAAAGGACGCCAAGCCAGCCCAAGAAGAGCCGCCCCGACGAGCTCATAATAACGGGGAACGCAGGATCCACACAGGGCGATGTCCTCAAACTGGTCACCCGACGGCAAGATGGCAAGCGAACTGGGAGCTAAGGATCCAAACGCTCTCAAGATGCGGCAGACGCTTTCCCAGGTGCTCGGCGAGGCAGCGAGAGTTCGAGCGGTCACAGGCGAGACCAACATTGAGATCCGCGACCTGGACGACCTTACAACGAAGGACTCTCGCTCGGGCACATCGCCGCTTTCTGCAAAGAGCGGACAGATAGAAGCGACTGGTGTTTCAGATGCGGAAAGCCAGGTCACAAAGTGACTTCCTGCACAAACGCGGCTGAGTGCTTCCTCTGGCAGCAAGAGATGCCCTCTCGGTAAAACTGATGCAACGAAACAAAGCAGAGAATGAGGTTCATCCAGATCAACCTCAACCACTGCGAAGTAGCCCATAGCCTATTCGAGCAGGTTTTAAGAGAGAAGCGGGCAGATATAGCCCTAATAGACGGTAGGGCAGATATAGCCCTAATATAGCCACACACTAGACCAGATAGCCCAGGACGCAAGGCACAAATCCCAGGTGGTGATCGCTGGCGATTTCAACGCCTGGGCGGAGGAATGGGGCTCATCGCGCACCAACGCCAGGGGTCGAACCCTCCAAGAGACCTTTGCGACTCTTGACGTAGACCTGTTGAACACTGGCTCCCAAAACACGTTCAAGTGTTGCTCTCCGCAAGGCGGGGTATGTATCAATTGTGGACCTTACCTTCTGCAGCAGCGGTCTATTTCGGAGGACATGGTGGTCCCTCAGTGATGACTATACTGTGAGCGACCACAAATATATAGTCTGCGACATCGAGGAGAGAGAGCAAGCTTCCACAACAGCGAAGCCACCAAGATTCAATCCGGCTACATTGCAACCGCAAAAATTTTCACAGGAACGAAGGATTCCGGATTCTTCGGGCGACGCTGAATGCGATGTTCACAACACCATGGCGGCGGTTCTACAGGCCTGCCGAGCCAGCATGAGGTGTAGCCTTGGTCATTCAAGGAACCATGAACCGGTGCCCTGGTGGTCGCCGGAGAATAGCCCATGCGCGCATGGAGTGCCTCCGAACCAGAAGGTTGCCTCAAAGAGCCAGAGGAAGGCCGGACTTCGAACAAAAAAGAGAGGACTTCGCGGCAAAGAGGAAGATTCTGAAGAAGCTGATAAGGGAGGCAAAGACTAAGTGCTTCCTCGAGATGTGCGACGCTGCAGAGCAAGACCCGTGGGGATCGGCCTACCGGACCGTAGTCAAGAAAGCGAAGCAGGCAAAGCCGATCGCTCCAAAAGAAGCCGCCACAATGAGAGCCATTGTGGATCACCTCTTCCCGACGCAGCCGAGTGGAGTGGAGTCTCCTGGGTCAAGTCAAGCAAGAGAACCTGCCGGCTCTACGCCAGCTCAGGAAATAGGCTATCCAGGTCGGAAAAGCTCCTGGTCCAGATGGGATCCCAGACAGCGCGATTAAACTGGCGATGACTGCGTGCCCGGACCGGTTCGCCAGGATCTTCAACGCATGCTATATGAAGGCGTTTTCCCTAAAAGGTTTAAAGTACAAAGCCTGGTCCTGCTTCCAAAGCGATGCAAGCCGCCGTAGGATCCGTCGTCCTTAAGGCCGATTTGCCTCATTGACCATGCCGGCAAAGCCCTAAGGCGCTGCATATTCCGGAGGCTGTAATCCGCGCGGGAGATCTCTCCCCATCGCAATACGGGTTCAGGGAACACCATTCCACGGTCGACGCAATTTCCTTGGTCAGGAGGATTGCAGCCAAGGCAATCGAGGGGACCAGATGGGCGGGCGGAAGTAAAGAGTACTGCCTGATCGCCCATCAGGACATCAAAAACGCCTTCAATACAGCCAGGTGGGATGTCATTGTGAAGGCGCTGCGCAATCTCCGCGTGCCGACTAGCATTGTGGAGGTAATAAGGTCGTACCTCAGCGATCGTACTATTAGGTTCGAGACGACCTCAGGTATCCGAGAGTATGCGGCCACCTGCGGAGTCCCTCAAGGCTCAGTTTTAGGCTCAGCCCTTTGGAATGTAATGTACGACGGGGTCCTCAGACTTGAGCTCCCGGAACGGACACACCTAGTCGTATTCGCGGAGGACATCGCGGTAGTGGTCGTCGCCAAGACAATCCACGAAGTAGAGGAGTACTGCAATGCTGCAATTGTAAATGAAATCGGTTGGCTGGAACAGGCAGGGCTAAGCCTAGCCCACCATAAGACATAGGCTGTCCTGATTTCAAGCCGGAAGCGGGTGGAGACGGCCATAGTAAATGTAGGCGGATATGTGGTCACATCAACCAGGGCCATCAGGTACCTGGGAGTAACGCTGGACACGAGGCTTAGCTTCAGGGGGCACTTCGCAGAAGCCAATCGCAAGGCAGCGAATGTCGCCAGAGCACTAGGGAGGATCATGCTCAACTGTAGGGGCCCGAAGCAAGGACGTAGACTACTTCTCCAGACCGTCTGCAGCGCAACAATGCTCTACGCAGCCCTCGTGTGGGCGGATGCAGCCAAGACAAGGTCGTACACCAAAGGTTTGATCGGCACATACAGACTTTGCGCCTTAAGGGTGTGCTCGGACTACCGCACGATCTCGGAGGACGCAGCTCTCGTCATAGCAGGCATGGTGCCAATCGACCTGCTCGCGGCGGAGCGACAAGAGCTATATCAGGCTCTAGCAGCGCTGAGCGGGCAGGCTCCGGCAGCGACACGCCGTCGGCTTAAAGTGAGCTCGAGAGCTACGAGCATCCAGAAGTGGCAACAATGATAGGACGAGTCGACCAAGGGACGCTGGACCCACCAACTGTTCCCTGACCTTGAGAAATGGCTCCAAAGAAGTCACGGGAAAGTAAATTTCTGGCTGATGCAGTTAATCAGCTGCCACGGTTGCTTCATGAGTTGTCTATATAAATTTGGACACGATGACCCAAGGTGCCCCGGATGCGGGTTAGACGAGACGGCGGAGCATGTGGTCCACGCTTTTCATTCCCCAGGCGGACACTCCTAGGGGAAACAGCGACGGCGGACCTTATCGGAAGGAGGATGCTGGAGGACGCCCAGTTCTGGGCAGGCATGAGCAGCTTCGCCGCCTTAACAATGAAGAAGCTGAGACGGCTAGAGAGACTCCGAGCGGAGGCTAGGCTAGCCTAGGCAAACAACAGTAGTGGGGCGCATAAGCACGCTAATCCTGGCTCTGCGAAGCAAAGCCTAGCGGCATTACCGCAGAGGACAGGGACTTAGTATGCACTTTATGGTTAGAGCTTAGTTTTAAGTTTTTCTTTGTTAATAAACAATTAAAAAACAAAAAAACATCCAAACGCAGCAAAGATCCACTCTCACATCCAAAACGTAAATAAACATCTTCCATCGGCGAAAAGAAGGCACCAGCGAGTGCCCCAGCGAAAAGAGATAAGACGAGCCGCGATGCTTTGACAACGTCTCGATTACCATCGTCTTATTGTTGCTGAACATGCACAAGTAAAGATAAGAAGTAAACAACTAGCCTTGAGTAAAGTTGTTGTTGTTGGAGAATATCGATCAGCGAACGAAGCAAATTATTTGAGGAATTGAAGAAAGCATCAACCGTTGTTGGTGCTGCGCTACCAAGAGAGCAATCGGGGTGACAAATAGAAGCTTGAGGAAGAATAAGAAGTAACGGCGACAGCAGCGCCGCTTACTGTGGGTTTTTTTGAAGATCGCGTTTGTGGTAGTGGAAGAATCGCCGGGAGGTCAATAACCTAGGCCGGCTCTCTATGCACAAACCGGCTGACTTTTATCGACATAGGCCCAAAGTCATCATTGAAGAATGTAAGGAAATGTTGCTCCGGAACTCCCAATTTTAGGTCGACGAACTTGAGGGTTTTGATGTCAGCATCTTTTTTGATCAGCCTAGCACTGGCTAAATCACTCGGCTTTACGTTCAGCCTATCAAACTTGCACAGTGCATCTGGTTGTTTAGACGTCGGGAATTTACCAATATGAAGGTATTTTAAGGTGGGAAGCACTTAAAGCTGAGCGCAACTGGGTGCTTGTCCCACAATGCGCCTATGTGGGTTAATCCGCTTCTTCCTTGGGACAGCCACCTTTGATGCCGTTGGGGCCTGGCCCAATGTAGCCTTTTTGCTTCCAGTGCTGGTAGGCATAGAAGGGGGAGCAACAACATGGACCCCAGCCGAAGAGACCTCGGGCCCAGCGGGTCCATCCGCTCCATTTACCAGGGCGTGATCCACTTTGGCACAAAGGCTTTCGAAAAGGGATCCTAGATTTAGAACCTTATGATTCAGCTCATCAATTTTGGAATACGAATCATTTCCAATGACGCAGCTATCACATTGCCACATTAAGTTTGGAATGTTAATAAGTAGTTTTATAGCCTCCGAGGGCAAAATAATAATAAATAATAAATAATAAATAAATTTATAATACATAAATTTTAATAATAACAAGAAAGCAAAGCTAACTTCGGGCGGAGCCGAAGTTTATATACCCTTGCAGTTAAAACCGGATATATATCGCAAACATCAGATATAGTTGGCCGATCCTTATGATTACATCATAATAAAACTAATTAACTAAAATAAAAAATCTAAAAAAAGTCCCAAACTTCTATCTTCAAAAATACGAAAGTTGATATTTCTACCAAATACCATTTCCGATCGTTCAGTTATATGGCAGCTATAAGATATAGTCGGCCGATCCTAATGAAATTTGGTAGGTTGGATCAACTGGCCAAAAATAGAATCTGTATTAAGTTTCAGCTTTTTATCTTCAAAAACACGAAAGTTGGGTCATTTCCGATCGTTCAGTTATATGGCAGCTATAAGATATAGTCGGCCGATCCTTATGAAATTTGGCATGTCGTATTATTTTGCCAAAAATAGCTTTCATGTCAAATTTGAACTCTCTAACTCTAAAAACACCAAAGTTATACCATTTCCGATCAATCAGTTATATGGCAGCTATAAGATATAGTCGGCCGATCCCGGCCGTTCCGACTTATATACTGCGTGCAAAGGAAAGAAGGGTGTGTGCAAAGTTTCAAGACGATAGCTTTAAAACTGAGAGACTAGTTTGCGTAGAAACAGACAGACGGACAGACAGACAGACGGACAGACGGACAGACGGACAGACGGACATGCTCATATCAACTCAGGAGGTGATCCTGATCAAGAATATATATACTTTATAGGGTCGGAGATGTCTCCTTCACTGCGTTCCACACTTTTGGACAAAATTATAATACCCTCTGCAAGGGTATAAAAACAAAGCTAAATGAACAACTATATCAGAAGTCATTACCGGACTAAAAAGCAATTTCATAGGCGAAACTGTAGAAGTATTATCAGCTGAACTGATGAATGTACAGCAACGCAACAAAACTGCTAACCAATATACAGATGGTTACAGAGGTTTAGCAGATGACAAAAGCTCTTAAAGCTCTGGACGTAATAATTATTACAACTACAACAGTACCAATTATAATAATAATGGAAGAGGTCAATACAGAGGAAACAATCGAGGACGTGGTAACTCACCTCGAAGCTACAATAACAACAACACGCATAACAATGTTAGAGTAGCCCAGAACAATCAAGGAAACTTGCAGCAACCCTCAGATATTCAGCAGTAGAAAACTCTGCGGTGGATACCATCAATCTTAGTTTAAACATATTTGTTGACTTTTTCAATGTAAAGACAAATAAAAAACTTGCATTCTTAATAGATACCGGTGCAGACATATCGCGGAAAAAGGGGGTCAACCACCGGTCATCAACCCGGGCAGCCCAAGGGAATGTCGGCAGGATCAGTACGGGGGGTTGGGGAGAAAGGTGAAAGCCAGTTACCGTGGGTTCCGGCGAAAGGCTACCCGTGGGAGGACGGAATCTAATTGGAACGTAACGGTGACCGGTGAAAGGGTCAACGGCGCCACCCGGGGAAGAAGGAATCGACGTGGAACGTAACGGGTCCCGGGGCAACGTTGGGAAAGTAGTCCAGTGGGGGAATCAGCACGATGCGCAGGCGTGCCTTAGAAAGTGTGGCGGGGTGAGCGGCAAGGAGCAAAGGCGGGGGGGGGGTTGCGACGAAGAGTGCAACGGGCCCTGGAAGCCCACCGGTGCACCACATACCAGCAGCAGAGATCCGTGGCCGGGGGAAACGAGGGGCCACGGACAGCGACCCGCCAACTGAAAAGTGGCGTGATTCTGGAAGCAGGATTAATGGCAGGAGCAGAATCCAGGAGGATTGACGGGCGCTCCAGTCAGTATAAAAGGAGGCCCATTGGAGCGGCTCGGGACGAGTCTTTTTAGGAAGCTTGTAGCGTTGAGTTAGAGGACCGCCTGTGGAGAGTCCGCCATTCAAGTGTTACAGCGTTTCTAAAAAGGATTCGGTTTGTTTGAGTTGAAGGACCGCCTTTGGAGAGTCCGACAGCCAAGCGCAAGGAGAGCGAATAAGACAATAAGGAAAGGATCCATTGCTGGACCTTCCTCTGGAAACCAAGGGTCGTGTAATCGAGTTGGTCCGAACACGGCAGGTAGCCTTGCAAGGAAGTAAGGGAAGGATACGTCTGGCGTACGCCTTACCGATTCCTGAAATTACAACCAACAGGCGTGGTCCTGCGAGACAAGGATAGACCGACTCGGGATCGCACGCCCGGTGTACACGAAACGTAAAGGACGAGACGCAAGACAGAACCAGGGTGGGGAGACCGAGTTGAGCCACTCCCGAACACGGCAGGTAGCCTTGCAAGGAAGTGAGGAAAGGATAAGTCTGGCGTATGCCTTACCGACTCCTGAAATCATAACCAACAGGGGTGGTCCTGCGAAACAAGGAGGCCTACTTGGGATCACACGCCCGGTAACCACGAGACGTACAGAACAAGGGAGACAAGGATCCGTTGCTGGACTGTTTCCTCTATAAGCCCGGGGCGTCAGAGTCGAGTAGGGCCATTCCCGAACACGGCAGGTAGCCTTGCAAGGAAGTGAAGAAAGGATAAGTCTGGCGTAGGCCTTACCGACTCCTGGAATCGCAACCAACAGGCGTGGTCCTGCGAAACAAGGATCGGCCGACTCGAGAACTCGCGTCCAAGTCACAGACCAAGTGAGAACACCCTGGTCATTAGCCCCGCCACTACAAACTCGGGTTCGCCGGCGCGTATGCACGGTGTCCCGACGTAGCGGGAGCGCGACATACGATCAGGCACACGGCGGCTTCCAAACCTGGCACCGGAGCGTATGCACGGTGTCCCGGTGTAGCGGAGACGTCACACGGCAACTTCCAAACCTGGCGCCGGAGCGTATGGGGGTGTTTCTCAAGGCCAAAGGGCGGAGGGTAGCGGAATTGCTAGCAGCGCGGCGACAGGAGTACCATCGGCGACGGAGTAGCGGCGGCGTATCCTGGACAACCCGCATAGGACGCCGACGACGGAGCCAGCAGAAACGGAAGGAGTAACGAGTAAAAGAGAAAGAAAGCCTTTGTAGTGTAAAGAAGTCTCAAAATAAAGAGTGTGGAAACTTCAAGCTATTTGTATTATTTTCTCGGCTTGGGCAATCACGTCAAATCTATAAATTCGGTGGAACGGATACGCGAAACTCTGTGAGCTAGCCGCGGCAAATTGTGGCGAGCGGAAGCAGAAAAGACAGTTCGTTACAACACACAGGTAAATACATTATTTCACACGATTTTCACTTAGTAGGTTTGCACTTCGCAATAACTTATGATGGAATAATAGGCAATTACTTCATTAAGAAATTCAATTACCAGTTAGATTTCAAACCAAATTCCATTGTTCAACCAGCAAGATCCCAAGAAGTCAGAAAAAATCATCTATCATCAGATGAGGATAGTGTATTAATTCCAAACCAGGAAATTAAAGAAGGCATTTATGTTGCAAACACAGTGGCAACAACCAAAAATGTATTTGTCCGATTACTGAATATGTCCAATACCGATCAAGTAGTAGATATTAAAAATTTGTCTTATAAACCACTTTTGAACTACGACATAGTTCAAAACAATCCAGAAAATAGAGAAAAAACTGTCTTATCTCAATTAGCTAAAAATTTTGCACAACAATTAAAGAACGAATTGACTAATTTATGCACCCAGTTTAGTGACGTATTCGGACTCGAAACCGAATCCATCACTACCAACAACTTCTACAAACAAAAGCTAAGATTAGAGGACGATGAACAAAAAATATTAAAGAAACCCTCAAAGCAGGGACCGTAATCATTACTTTGTAATAAAAATTACTTTGTAATGAAAACTTATCGATTTGTCCTAAGTCCTTATAAAGGGACCCTAGAGCAATAATTGACAACAACAACAACAAAATTCATTTTACCTGTATTTGTTGCAATTATTTAATATAAGGTCAACTGTTACATAGTAGCAGCAGCAGCATACACAATATTGGCAATATCCTTAAAAGATCAAAAGTTATTGCTTGGTGAGTTTTATTTTGATCAAAAAAATAAAAATCACGAATAATCATTATTTTTGAGTTTTATTTTTTTTGTTCAAGCTTAATGATTATTTGTGATTTTTATTTTTTTCGATCAAAAATAATGTTTAACCATAGAAGAATAAATATAACAATTAAAAATTAAAAATCATCAAGGGTATTCATAGTGTATCCTTAAAGGATGAAAACGTGCTAGTCAAGCTTGTTCTATGTTGATTGGAAGTGATTGATTTATTCATGCCTTGACTTTATGTCAGGATTTCATCAAATTGAACTCGAAAAAAGTTCAAGATATATAACGTCTCTCTCAACAAGCAATGGCTCGTATCGCTTCACGCGATTGCTATTCGGCCTAAAAATAGCGCCAAATTCTTTCCAGAGTACAATTATGCCAACTGTTAATCCAATCCTCAAAGCACTTCCCATAAGCACTTTTTGGTAAAGCCTTGAGCTCTTCCAGCGATGCAGTCTTTATCTCTTCAACCGTTGCAAATCTCCGTCCTTTCATAGGTCTCTTTAGTTTTGGGAACAAGAAAAAAGTCACATGGGGCCAAATCCGGTGATCATGGTGGCTGAGGCATTAATGTGGTGTTGTTTTTGGCCAAAAAATCTCTCACAAGCAAAGATGAGTGATCAGGAACATTATAGTGATGTAAAAGCCATGAATTCTTTTTCCACAATTCTGGACGTTTCGTTCGTATTGCTTCTCGCAAACGGCGCAAACGGCGATAATACCTTTAATAAACAACAGACCGACTATAGTACGACTATATCGTAAGAACTCCTGATGCCACACGCCATGGTAATCGAAGAAAACAGTGATCAAAACTTTGACATTTGATCAAACTTGGCGTGCTTTTTTCGGTCTTGGCTCACCTGGGCTCTGGGCTCCATTGAGACGATTGGGCTTTGGTTTCAATATCATAATCATATACCCATGATTTCAGTCACCAGTTGTGACCCTTTTGAGTAAATCTGGGTCGTCTTTGACGCCATTCAACAGCTCTTAAGCGATGCTCATGCGACGGTTCTTTTGGTCAAAATTCAGCAATTTCGGGACAAACTTCGCTGACACACGACTCATGCACAAAACGTTTGAAAATATTTCATGGCACGAGCCAAGCGATATAGCGACATCTTCAGCAACTTCCCTGATAGGGATTCGACAATTTTGCAAAACAATTTTCTTCACTGCTTGAACGTTTTCATTAGTTGTTGACGTGCTTGGGCGTCCAGAGCGAGGCTCATCATTGCCATCTTCCCGGCTATCTTGGAAGAGTTTATACCACTTGTAAACATTTTTTTTTCACCCAGAACAGTTTCACCGTATGCCACTGTCAACATTTCAAGTGTTTCGGAGAACTTAATTTTATTTTTTACACAAATTTGATTACAATTTTGATGCAAGTCCTTTGATCCACATTTTTCGAAAGCAAAAAATCGCCGAGCATTCAAAACAGCTTGTAACCTTTACGCCTCTCACAACCAAACAAAAAAGGGGATTTAATTGAAACTTAGTACAGAGGTTAGGGAAGAGTTTACCAACATAACAAAATAAAAAAATCGATAATCGAAAATATGTTGCCCGCGAAATCTGCAAAGTCAACTTACATTTTGAACACACCTCGTTTGAACACACCTTACACGAATACAATATACCCTTGTACTCTAAAAACACCAGGTACAACAATTTGAGTAAATATAAGCATCGCGATGCATCGGTTTGATTTTAAAACGTATTTAAAGTAGTCGTAAAATTTAAAGAAAAACAGATCTTAAACTTTTTTTAAGCAATAAGTACCAAGTAAATAAAATAAAAAATTTTGTAATATAAATTAAAAAGAAGTTAATTTAAGAAAACAAACAAAATCACAAAAACACTAAAACAAAAAAAAACAAGAAAGCAAAGCTAACTTCGGGCGGAGCCGAAGTTTATATACCCTTGCAGCTATAACCGGATATATATCGCAAACATCGGATATAGTTGGCCGATCCTTATGATTACATCATAATAAAACCAATTAATTACAATAAAGAATCTAAATAAAAGTCCCAAGCTTCTATCTTCAAAAATTCGAAAGTTGATATTTCTACCAAATACCATTTCCGATCGTTCAGTTATATGTCAGCTATAAGATATAGTCAACCGATCGTTATGAAATTTGGTAGATCGGATTGACTGACCAAAAATAGAATGTGTACCAAGTGCCAGCTTTCTATCTTCAAAAACACGAAAGTTGGGTCATTTCCGATCGTTCAGTTATATGGAAGCTATAGGATATAGTCGGCCGATCCTAATGAAATTTTGTAGGTCGAATTAACTGACCAAAAATATAATCTGTACCAAGTTCCAGCTTTCTATCTTCAAAAACACGAAAGTTGGGTCATTTCCGATCGTTCAGTTGTATGGCAGCTATAGGATATAGTCGGCCGATCCTTACGAAATTTAGCATGTCGTATTATTTTGCCAAAAATAGCTCTCACCTAAAATTTGAACTCTCTAACTTTAAAAACACCAAAGTTATACCATTTCCGATCAATCAGTTATATGGCAGCTATAGGATATAGTCGGCCGATCCGGGCCGTTCCGACTTATATACTGCGTGCAAAGGAAAGAAGGGTGTGTGCAAAGTTTCAAGACGATAGCTTTAAAACTGAGAGACTAGTTTGCGTAGAAACAGACAGACGGACAGACAGACGGACAGACGGACAGACGGACAGACGGACAGACGGACAGACGGACATGCTCATATCTACTCAGGAGGTGATCCTGATCAAGAATATATATACTTTATAGGGTCGGAGATGTCTCCTTCACTGCGTTGCACACTTTTGACCAAAATTATAATACCCTCTGCAAGGGTATAAAAACAAAGAAAATAATACAAACTGTTAAGAACTATAAGTATAAAAGAATAATTTAATCAAATTCCGTCACAGAGCAGTTTATGAATTAGCTGCTCAAAAAGCTGCTCAAGCATAACTCATCACAGGATTACCATGCATCTGAATGAAGAACCACATCCCAATAAAACACAGGTAATACACCAAAAACTTAAAAATAAAAGGGAAATAAACACGAAGGTGAAAGAGCTGCTACAAAAAGAGTGCATTAAGCCCCCTAATAGCGCGTACAGCTCACCCAATGTGATGGTAAAAAATAAAGGGGGCCAATAATGGGTGTGCATGGACTTCCGACAGATTATCGGAGATCAATAATCTCAATTGAATTAACTTTATAAGCCAACCTAGAAGAGCAAGATTTTTTTAGCAGCCTTTACTTACGAATGGGTATTGGCAGACCCCACTACAAGAGGGAACCAGGAAGAACACCACTGTATCAGGAAACTAGCAGTATCAATGTATCACTCAGCCTCGAAAACTTCCCAGAGGGCTCTGGACCAGGTCATGGGTTATGGCACCACGCAGATTTGAATACCAAGATGATGAGAAGTGGACTTAGAAGTAGATCAAACCTTAGGATAAATGCGGACATTTGTTCTGGCTTATTTGTTCAGGCTGAACCTAGCCCATCGAAGCCAGTGGATTTGCATGAATCCATGGAAAGTCGCCGCTATTACGGAGCTGCAACCCCCAACCATCGTAAAAGAACTTCCTTTCTTCATCTCGCTTTCTTTGAGTTCGGACGTCTACTTTTTCGCTCATGTCGCCTCTTGTTTGCACCGAGTGCAGTGCAGAAGTTACTGCTACCCAACTTCGTGGGTGTGAGGCCGTTCGGTGCGCGTCGATTTGCCCTCGGAGGCTATAAAATTACTTATTTACATTCCGAACTTAATGTGGCAATGTGATAGCTGCGTCATTGGAAATGATTCGCATTCCAAAATTGATGAGCTAAATCATAAAGTTCTAGATCTGGAGTCCCGCTTCGAAAGCCTTAATGCCAAAGTTGACCTTGCCCTGGTAAATGGAGCGGCTGTGCCCGCTGGACGCGCCTCCTCGGCTGGGGTGCATGTTGTTGCTCCCCCTGCAATTTCCACCAGCACTGGGAGCATAAAGGCTACTCTGGGGCAGGCCACAACGGCATCTAAGGGGGCTGTCCCGAAGAAGAAGCGGATCAACCCTAATAGGCGCATTGTGGGACAGGCACCCAGTTGCGCTCAACTTCAAGTGCTTCCCACCTTAAAATACCTTCATGTGGGTAAATTCGCGACTTCTACTCAACCGGATGCACTGTGCAAATTTGTCGCAGATAAGCTGAACGTGGAGCCCAATGATTTAGTCTGTGCTAGGCTGATCAAAAAGGATGCTGACATCAACGCCCTCAAGTTCGTCAATTTTAAATTGGGAGTTCCGGAGCAAAATTTCCCAACAGTCTTCAATGACGATTTTTGGCCTATGTCGGTAAAAGTCAGCCGGTTTGTTCATAGAGAGCCGGCTAAGGTTATTGACCTCCCGGCGATTCTACCTTTACCGCATTCGCAATCTTCAAAAAACCCCCAGTAAGCGGCGCCGCTGGCGCCGTTACATCGTTTTCTTCTGAAGCTGCAGTTCGTCACCCCGATTGCTCTCTGCTGCGCTTCCAACAACAGTCGGCGTGGGCGTTCATGGTAACGGCTGACGCTGTCTTCAATTCCTCCAATAATTGGCTTCGTTTGCTGATCGATATTCTTCAACAACAACAACTTTTTTCAAGGCGAGTTGTTTATTTCTTATCTTCACTTGGATGCCCAACAACAACAAGAAGATGGTAATCGAGACGTTGGCAGCGCATCGCTTATCTTATCTCTTTTTGCTGGGCCACTCGCTGGTGCTTTCTTTTCGCCGATGGATGATGTTTATTTACGTTTTGGACGTGTGGGTGGATCTTTGCTGCGTTTGGATGTGCCCGACTATGAAGGCTCAATGTTTTCACCTAGCACGGAATCTGCCTTGCTACTGGACTCTCGCAGGTCTACTGATGAGTCTAATGGAAATTTCTATGTGTCCTTGTCGGCTATTTTGCAAGCTATGCGTATTGGATATGCCTTCACATGCACCAGAACCAGGAGCGCACTTTCACCATCACCGCCTTGCCGTCCAATTCCCAGTTTGGACTGTAGCTACTCGTCGTCCTCGGACCCTAGTAAAAGCCTAAAAGTTCTATTCCAAAATATATCGGGAATGAGAACCAAGACCCGTATGGTATTCCTCAATTCTTCTGCCTGCGATTTTGATGTAATCATCCTTGTGGAAACCTGGCTCAATGACAAATTCAGCTCCTCTGAGTTCTTCGAGCCTAATTTGTACCATGTATTTCGAAAGGACCGAGATGCATTCAGTACCCAGTGTGAGCGAGGTGGAGGTGTGATCATCGCTATCCGTCGATCTCTTCAGGCTACACCACTGCGCCTTCCGGTGGCCGACCCTTTACTGGATCAGCTTGCGGTTTCAATCCAGGGCGTCCATGGCCCGTTCGTCATCATTGCATCATACATCCCTCCGAACAGCGCATTTAGTATCTATCATGCGCATATGGAAAACATCAGTAGTGTCTGTGCTAGAACGTCGGACCCTACCGCTTTGATGGTAGCTGGCGATTTCAACCTGAGCTCCATTGTCTGGTCTTGGGACCCGGATTCTCCTTGCATGCTACCTAGCAACGTTCACCAGAGTCATGAAATTGTAGTTTTAGATGATATTTTTAGTCTGGGCCTCTCCCAAGTAAATAATATTTTTAATGATTTATCGAAAATTCTTGATCTTATATTTTTAAATAATTTGGTTAATAGTAAAGTTTGCAGTGGTGTAGCCTGAAGAGAGTTTTATAGTTTTCTGCCTTCTGCTTCTCCAATTCCATATTATCATCTGAATGATACTAACTTGTCACTTATTAACGCCTCTATTTCAGCCTTTGATTGGGTTTCCCTTTTTTCGGATGGCTCAATCGATGATTGTTATACTAAGTTCTTGGTTGCCCTTTTTAATATTATTGATACTTATGCCCCTGTGAGGGTACGAAGATCCTACAGGCTTCCCTGGTATACAAAAGGTTTAAAAAATTTAAAGAATAGAAGGGATAAGCACTATAAACGATTTATAATGACAGGTGAGACTCGAGCAGGAGAGCTGTACCGGCAATTTAAGCGGGAATTTGATTTCCTTAATAAGTTCCTCTACAATCAGTATATATCCGATGTCGAAGCTAGCCTTCGATCCAATCCTAAAGCTTTTTGGCGGTTTGTTAATAGCAAAAAGTCAAAATCGGACATACCTTCATCCATATGTTATGGTAATTTAGCAGCCGACTCGGATCAGGGCGTTTCAGATCTTTTTGCAAAATACTTTGCCTCTAACTTGGAGCCGAAGGTTCCTTGGTGTGATCATGAAACTCTTCTTAGCATTGAGCCTTTTCTTAATGTGAGTAACATGGACATTTTGGACGGTGACCTAGTTGAAGCCACTGGACATTTGACCGAGTCGCTCACACCTGACGTGGACGGTATCTCCCCATTCTTTCTTAAGAGGAGTATCGCTTCTCTTTCTACTCCCCTTCAGCTGCTGTTCTCCTTTTCGCTCTCATCTGGTAGATTCCCCCACCGGTGGAAGATGACTTCTATAACGCCTATTCACAAAGGTGGCAGTAGGTGTGATGTTACCAATTATCGACCTATTGCCAAAATTTGCAATGTCGCTAAGATACTGGAGCGGATAGTAACTAAAAAATTGACATTTCTGGCTCGCAATTTCATATCCCTCAACCAGCATGGTTTTCTGCCTGGGAGGTCCACTACCACTAATTTAGCTGTCTTTTCTAAGCACTGCTTTGAAGCTTTTGAAAACCGATTTCAGGTTGATGCCATTTACACCGACTTCTCCAAAGCCTTCGACAAAGTCTGTCATGCTGCCCTTCTGGCCAAATTATATAAGTTAGGTATTCATTCCTGCCTATTAAGTTGGTTCGAGTCTTATCTGGCTGACCGACCTTGCCACGTTACTGTTGGAGACACTATCTCAAGTCCATTTGTCACCTCCTCTGGTCTTCCACAAGGCAGCTCTCTTGGACCTCTTCTATTTATCATTTTCATTAATGACATCTCGTCATGCTTTCGTCATTCGCACTTTTTAATGTATGCGGATGACCTTAAAATCTATAAAGAGATTAGATGCATTAGTGACTTGTTACAGGAGGATATATCCAGAGTTTACTCATGGTGCTCCCGCAATCTTCTTCCCTTAAACTTATCTAAGTGTATGTTTACCCGTTACAGTAGGCGGTCTCTTGAAATCTGTACGGGTTATTCCATTTATAATTATAATTTGGCAGCTAAAGAAGAGGTCTTAGACCTTGGCGTCTTATTCGACAGCAAATTTAAATTTTCTGGTCACTTAGACTATATTTTACCTAAAGCGTATGCTATGCTGGGCTTTGTTAAGAGGCACGTGAACCAGTTCAAAAGTCCATACTCGAGCCTCAGCGTCTATGCTGCATTCATTCGGTCGAGGCTGGAATACGCCTCAATCATTTGGAATCCGGAGTGTAAAGTTCGTTCCAACCGAATTGAGCGACTCCAGAAAAAATTTTTAAAATTTGCACTTCTGCCTCTAAGGTTTCAGGATCCTGTTCCTTTATACCAGAGCCGTTGCCTTCTTTTGAACGTTTGCACGTTGGAGGATCGGCGTAAACTGGCAGCGTTAACTTTTTTAAATAATTTAATTGTTGATAGCATTGATTGTCCTTTTTTGTTGGGACTCGTTAATTTTAATGTTCCTCAAAGGGATCTTCGTACCTTTGCCCCCTTTCGGGTTAAGTGTCATAGGGCCAATTATCTTTTAAATGAGCCGATAGAGCGGGCTCTCTCTTACTTTAATTCTTTGCCGCCTAGCCTCCGAATTGAGTGGGGCTCTGATAAGGGTGTGTTTAAACGCAAGGTAATACGGCATTTATTAAGTTTTTGTTAATTTTGTAGTTTTATTTATTAGGTGTAAGTTGTTATTATGTAGCCATGTAAGGATTTGTCCGTTGGCGAAATAAATAAATAAATAAATAAATAAATAAATAAATAAAAGAAGTTTGCCATATTATCGGGATAGCTCCATGGTATCGGCGTTTCGTCCCAGACTTTGAAGGAATTGCGAAGCCACTGAAGGATCTGCTACGAAAAATGACAAAACGGGGATGGACAGCCCGACACCAGGTGGCGTTTAAAACACTAAAGTTGCGGCTCGCAAAGAATAAAGTAGTGGCATGCACATATGTATCTTGGAAAGAAATTCAAAGGGACGCCAGCGACTACGGCGTGGGTACTGCCCTGACACAGGACGCTGAGGAGGGATAGCGAGTAATCGGCTACACCAGTCGGACTTTTTTAGGAGGAGAAAAGAATTACTCGGCCACTGAAAAGGAGTGCGATTAATGAAAGAGCCTGCCACGAAATTAATGGTGACCAGTGTTGGTGTCCAGTTCACCAGCAGAAGCTACAAGAAGTTCATTGAGGAGCTCAGCGTGCGGCATTAGTTCAGTACGCTTCCTATAAAAATCACGCTGAAGAAACAGTCAAAACCACACCCAGTTGCAGGTGAGAACCAGACGACATGGAACGAGCACTTGCCAGAGTTAATGCTAGTAGTGAACTCTAGCGCGGCGGACGCCACGGGATACTCGCCTTGATTCGTGACACACAGAAGGGAAACAAGAATGCGCATTGGAAACACGTTCAGGACAAGCCACGTCTTGGGAAAACGTAAAGAAGCTGCAAGAAGTATTCGAGCTATGGCAGGCCCCCACGAAGAAAGAAAAGAGGGGACATCAGGCGGAGTCAAAGTTGATACACGCTTGCAGTTAAGATTGGATATATATCACTAATATAGGATATAGCTGGCCGATCCTTATGAGAATTTCATTAAAAAACCAAATTCTTGGACTACAAAAATTAAAAACAGGCCAAGCTTTTAGTCTTAATAACAAAAACGTTGGGTCATTTCCAATTACTTCGCTATGACAGCTATAGAATATTTATTTATTTATTAGATATGATAGAAAAGTCGTGTTTGGTCTGTTAAGCGCCGCCCGAGCTGCTGAGTGCCGTGCCGAAAGTCTGGGGCCGAGGCCGCCGAGAGACAATAAAGCTAATTTATATTCAACTACAACACAAAAAAAAAATATTGTATTTAATTCTATAAAATTCTATTCTATTCTATTCTAATTTCGACCAACGACCGCTAATTTTTCAACCAAGCCCGCTATTTCTCTCTCGGCTATATGTGTGTGTGTGTGTGCAGATAAACCCAGATAAATGTGCAAATTTAAGCTTATGACTAAACTTAACACGCTCATGTGCTAAATTAAACCTACTGAAGAATAATTAATAACTAAAAGTGTTAATTTGTGCCAAAATGCCAGCAAATTCGACCGTCCAATTAAAATAATTAAAAACCCAAACCCGATTTATATGTGTACAGTGACGTCCCTGCCATCGACTAAGATTGCCACACCTCCTGCTAATTTATTCAAACGCCAATTAGAGCTAATTAATTCTCCAAAATAATTTATGCTAAAGGATCCTATAAATTATAAATTATTAATTTTTTTAATTCGTGCTAAATTTTTTATTGCAGTGAAATAGCTTAATTCTTCATGTGTAGGGTACGGGGCTGCACCTGCACATTTTATGACATGCACACAGTTAATCTTTTTTTTTTTTTAAATCGTTTATTAACAAAGAAAGACTTAAAACTAAGCTCTAACAAGAAGAAAAAGTGAAAAAGTGTCTACTAGGTCCCTGTCCCCTGCGGTAATGCCGCTAGGCTTTGCTTCGCAGGGCCAGGAAATTGGCGTGCTTATGCGCCAAACTACAGTTGGCCTAGGCTAGCCTAGCCTCCGCTCGGAGTCGCTCTAGCCTTCTCAGCTCCTTCATCATGTAGGCGGCGAAGCTGCTCAAGTCTGCCCAGAACTGGGCGTCCTCCAGCAACCTCCTTCAGATGACGTCCGCCGTCGCCACTTCCCCAAGGAGTCTCCGCCTGGGGATCGAAAAACGTGGGCAGTCCAGGACCACATGCTCCGCCGTCTCATCAACCCCGCATTCAGGGCACCTTGGGTCATCATCGTGTCCGAATTTGAAGAGGTAACTCCTAAAGCATCCGTGGCCGCTGAGAACCTGCGTGAGCCAGAAGTTCACTTCTCCGTGACTTCTCTGTAGCCAATTCTTGAGGTCGGGGACTAGTTGGTGGGTCCACCGTCCCTTGGTCGACTCGTCCCACCTTTGTTGCCACTTCTGTATACTCGAAGCTCTCGAGATCTCTTTAAGCCGACGGCGTGTCGCTGCCGGAGTTTGCCCGTTCAGAGCTACTAGAGCCTGGTATAGCAGGTCAAATGGCACCATGCCTGCTATGACGAGAGCTGCGTCGTCGGAGATCGAGCGGTAGCCCGAGCACACCCTTAAGGCGCACAGTCTATATGTGCTGGTCAGACCTTTGGTATACGACCTTGTTTTGGCTGCATCAGCCCACACGGGGGCTGCGTAGAGCATCGTTGCGCTGCAGACGGTCTGGAGAAGTAAACGACGTCCTTGCTTCAGGCCCCTACAGTTGAGCATGATCCTCCCTAGTGCTCTGGCGACATTCGCCGCCTTGCGATTTGCTACTGCGAAGTGCTCCCTGAAGCTAAGCCTCGTGTCCAGCGTTACTCCAAGGTACCTGATGGCCCTGGTTGTTTTGACCACATGTTCTCCCACGCTGATTGAAGCCGTCTCCACTCGCTTCCTGCTCGAAATCAGGACAGCCTCTGTCTTGTGGTGGGCTAGGCTTAGCCCTACCTGTTCCAGCCAACTGATGGCGTTTGCAATTGCAGCGTTGCAGTGCTCCTCTGCTTCCTGAATCGTCTTGGCCACGGCGACTACCGCGATGTCGTCCGCGAATCCAACTTGATGTGTACGTTCCGGAAGGTCGAGTCTGAGGACCCCGTCGTACATAAGATTCCAAAGGGCTGGGCCTAAAACTGAGCCTTGAGGGACACCACAGGAGGCCGCATGCTCTCGGATGCCTGAGGTCGTCTCATACCTAATAGTGCGACCTTATGATCTCCACAAGTTAATCTTGGCTGCAGTTATATGCACGCTCAGCTAGAAGAAAACGAAAAGACAAATTAAAGCTAAGCTAAAGTTCAGTGACCCAATTTTTGTGACCGCCTGAATTTAAATAACTAAATATTAATACTAATGCTAAACTTAATATTTAGTTCCACGCTAATGACTTCTTAAATTCGTTTTGCGGCTTTATTGCACTCGGCTGTTT